TCTGTTTTTAAAGAATTATTTATTTTATTTGAATATTATTTTTAGTTTGCTACAGAGTACATGGGCGAGAGAGAGAGAGAGAAAGAGAAAGCAACCCACCAAGTCTGGGACTTTAAACTGTAGTTGGCCATGTGGGAGTCCAGCGCCTTAACCACCACGCCACCTGCTGGCCCCACCAGATATTTTTAATAGAGTCAGGCGTTTACTGAAAATTGTAAGATAATGGTTTTCCTCTATTCGCCGACTTCTGGTTGATCTCATGTTAAAATGTGCTACTGCTTATACTTTGTCACTGTCCAACCGAGTACTTACATTTGCCAAGACAATCACAGTTTTGTGCTGTCTTATTTGAGATAAAGTCCATAAAGACTTTTTTTTTTAAAGAAAGATTTTTGGTATAGGGCACGTGTGCTCACCAGAGAGACAGAAAGTGAGAAATCCAACACTGCCCCCAATCCCCGCAGGGAGATAGCCGTGCCACAATCCCTTCTTCTCCATTTTCCTCTCAGGATTCTGGGCATGTATGCATATGTGCCTAGTGTGAGTTTCAAGCCACCTTGTGTGTTTATCGATAAGTAAACCTCGTTTATTTCCAACTGGAGACCAAGTGATTTTACCAAAATTTGGAATTTATGAACAGCTCCACTGTACTATCTTGTTGCTTACCAAGATAGTACTCGTCAGTAATACTGAGGTAAGCAAACCAGGATAATCCTCCTACAGCAGCATGAATTCACTGTCCAGGACTTGAACTGCAGTCGACCATGTGAAAGTCCAGTGATGTAACCATTACACCATCTGCTTTTTTTCTCTATTTTCTTCAGGACTTTTTTTCTATTTTCTTTTCTTTCTTTCTTTTTTTTTTTTTTTTCAAGCCTGTTTAATTCCTTGATGAGAAAGAAAAACCCTCAATGGGGTCTCACGCCACAATCCTCCCCCGGCCCTCCTAGCCAGCTTGGATCATATGAGGGTTCACATGCACCAGGAATGTAGAGCTTAACCAGAAACCAAGTCCCCGATATTTCACATGCACCCGGCACCACAGAGGCACATGCCGCTACTGCCCGCTGTGGCTGGCCTTCCGTGCCATCTTGACACAAAAACCTGCAAACATCTCAAGATTGCTCCTTGACTCACTGCACCAGACTCACTGCACACTTCTGTGCCCATGGACAACTGTTCTTAAATGTATTGTTAACATTCAAGTTTATATCAGTCATTTGTTCTGTCTTTGAAAATCCTCATTTATCTCCAACTGGGGAGTGAGTGATTTTACCTACAACAGAAATGTGTAGCCTTTGTTTTCTTGGTGCTTTAGGATTTGCAAACTATCTCTTTGTTTCATATGTCCATAACACAGGGGTAAACAAACAAGGATAATCCTCGTCATGGAACAGAAATGGAAACTGGGGCGTGCCCAGATTGTGAGCAGGAAAATAATGGTACAGTCACCACTGGTGCTCAGGTTTCCGCCTCCAAAGCCCACGTCCTTCCCATTACCCCATGCTCACTTCACCCTTGACCCTGGCCAGGAATCATTGCAAATGTGCACAACAGGAGAGGCAGCATGGATGGATTAGGACAGACTCATTCATACACCCCGAAAAATAACTCAGTACACATGTCCTGGTGATGATGGGGCTGTAGCACATCTTCAAATACAAAAGAGAGCACATATAATGCAGAAATGATGTTTTGATAACTGACCAAAACCTTATTGAAACTTGGAATGTTGACTTATTAGAGAAAGTGAAGCAACAAAGGACGATATGTTCTAGAATGTGCTGAGGGAAATGCATGGTAGGAGAAGGGAGAGAGGAAAGAAGATTCAGGAAATCCCAGAGATACCATCTTTCCATTATTGTCCTCTGCAGCCCTTACCTGCATCAGGTTAGTTTTCTTTAAGAACTACTCTCTAGTCCCTAAATACAACTTTCAATTTCTTTTCTTGATGCCTTTAGGTAAGCTCTTTTAAAAACTAACCTAAGGCACCAGACTCCCACAGGGCCAATGATGATTCAAGTCCTGGACTTGGCAGTTTAAGAATTATGCTGGGCAGGTGTGTGTGTGTGCCCCAAATCCCAGGAGGAGAATGGAGGAAAAGGGATTGAGGCATGGTTATCCCTCTGAGAAAAAGTGATTTCTCACTTTCCTTCTCACTGTCTGTCTGTTTCTCTCTGGTAAGGGCATGTGCCCTATGGCAAAAACCTTAAAAAATAATAATAGTAATTAATCCAAGGGCAATGACCATGGCCTAGTGGCTAAGAGAGCTAGATCCCACATGACTGATCACAGAGTTCAAATCCTGACCCCAGTGACTTGAAAATCTCACCAGACGTGTGCATGCCTACCCCAAGTCCCAACAGGATGGTAAAATGGAGGAGGATTACGGCATGATCACACCTCAATGGACTTTCTCTCTCACCTTCATTTCTCTGGCAAGAACGCACATTCTCTAGGAAAACAAAATAAATAAACCCCAAATATCTTTTCCTAACACTTACTCACTTACTTAGTTTATTCAAATACTGCCTTTCCAGGAAGCTGATCCTAAATCCTTACATTCACCCCTTTGGTTTCTCTACATGGTGAGAGCTTGCAGAATTGAGGCCATCCCTTTTCTTCAGTAGAGGAGGCATGATCTATTTTTTTGACTGAGGGTCAGACAGGCCTAGCCATCCTGAAGGGTGTCATTCCACGTCCCTGAGACCTTCAGTTTCAGTGAGGCTTCCCTGACAACTGACAGATGTCCAAGAGGAAGATACACAACCATTTCTGGATTTAGTTGTATAAAATAAGTGAATGAATGAATTCATTTTTTAGTATCTGCTTTTAATCACAACTGTGGCTCGTGGCACCAGGGGAAAAGGCCTCCCTTTCAGATGTACAAGAAATGTATACAAAAAGTCACGAGAGAAGATGACCTCAGCTCTTAAAACGTGTAAACATTTCAGCAATCTTGCTCTCACAGGGAAACCCTTAATTCTTCATTTTCAAACTTTAAGCTGAACTGACAGCCATTTGTGCTGTCCAGTTTGAATTGTTATTTTTGTATTTATTTTTTGAGTCAAGGATCTTTTTCCAGGTTCAGATATTTCCTTAATGAAATTAAAATTTCCCATGGAATGGTTTCATGCAAAAGTGCTGGCGAAGTCCTTGGTCTGGATGTTGTTCCTAGAATGTTTCCACATAAGGAGGACTTTAGGAAGGGATGACCAGAGTCCTACTCAGTCTAGTGGTTTGAGGTCTTTTCTCATCTTATGCTTCCTTGGTGCAGTTGTCAGTGAGGATGTGTGTGTGCATGTGTGTATAGACACACATTTGTCAGTAGGGAGAAGAAAGCCTTCAGAGAGCACACAACTGCCTTAGTGTTCTTCTTCAGTTGTGTTTGTTGAAGAGGCAAAGTCCAGGCAGGTGTGGTAGTTGCCTTGTGTGACTGCTCTGAGCATGTCCATCTAGTCCTAGTGGCCACTGTCCTGTCTGCCCCTTATAGGCCTGGCAGAGCTGTTGACATCTGGGGAGCCCACATTCTTACTGACTGTAAGATGCATCCTTGGAGAATGTATTTTCTGTAATACATTCAGAACATGAAGCTGTCCTCTCTACAGCCTTCTCTTCTAGACCTTCTAAATGACTATTCTTAAATGTGGGTAGGAGTCTGGGACCATGATATGCATTAAAAGCTCAGCAACTCCAGGACAGATGGAAAACCAACATCCCCTTCTAGTTGGGTGCTACAAGAAGGATTCAAGGAGAGTTAAGTCAGAAGCCATGGGACTGACCCAGCTTGGGACAGGAATAGGGCCTTGGGACGTGGTCACTGCATGTGAATCTAGCTGAGGCAAAATGTGGGTCAGGACAAGAATTCCTGAGGAGTGGAGTTAGTTTCCAGAGTAGCAGAATGTTCAAAGCATGTACTTTGGAGCTTCATTAATTAAAAGCGTATCCTCTGGAGTTTCCTTATTGGCTTCAGATCTGGTGCTGCCATATCCCAGCTGTCATTTAACCTCTCTTTGCTTTTGTTTCTTCACTCCTCAAATATGATAACAGAACCTCTTCATAGAGTGGTGTGAGTATTTTAATGTATTAATGTAGACTGAGTGCTTAGAATAATACCTGGCACACAGCAAGCATTATACAACTGCTTGATGTTATTATGACAATATTTTATTTATTTATTTTTTTAAGTTTATTTGTTCTGGGTGTAATATTGAGAGAGAAGATAGGCAGCCTCAACAGGGTCTTTATGCTACAACCCACTTCCCGACTGCCTGGATCATAGCATGCTTGGTATGCCTGTGCATGCCTGTTATGTGCAGAGAGGCCTTGGAACACAAACCAGCACTTTCCCTATGGGTTCAGCATCACAGAGCAGTGTGCTCGCTCTGTGCTGCTGTCGCCCATACACTTACCGTTACTGTTACAATGGTCATCGCCATCTCTATAAAGTTTACAAGGCCTGTAGAGTTAGGGTGGTACTGAGTTACAAGAGTGGCTACCAAAATCAACCAAGGTATCTAACAGCATCCTTGTTTGGTATTGTCTTGTGTTTGGTCACCAGGGATACATTTTTCCTGTCTCTAGTAAGTGAAAAAGTACCTTTCTGGGAGAATGACTACATTATACCTTAAAATGAGTTTGATGATAACACCTGTCTGGTTTGGATAAAATCATCCTTCTAAAAAGACTGCAACACTTGTCACTGGCTCATTGTCCCTGTTCTTTTCTGGTCTTAGATGTGACTGTTAGGCTGCTGGGTTTTGGTCTTCAGTTTAGACACTTGATTATGCTCTGAAGCACTTGTTGTTTGTCACTGTACATGGTTCCCATAGGACAATGTTTAGACTCAGCTGATGTTTAGACAGGCTTCGTGGTGTATGGCATATGAAACCATGTGTGGGATGGGGTGTTGGCAGGCTCTGTTGCTCTGAGCTGCCAGTGGGTATACCCAGGTGCGAGCCATGCATGACAGGGTCTCTCTGCTTGTCGTTTCCCTTCAGATGACTATGCCCAGCTGTGTAACATCCCTGTGACAGGACGCCGGCAGCCATATGGACGGGATGCCTTGGTCGACTTCAGTGAACAGTATGCTCCGGAAGCTGATCCCTACTTCATCCAGGACCGTAAGCAAAATTGTTCAGTTACTTTGAAACTATATCATTCATAAGGATTAGTCAGTGGATGGGACCAGCATGTGGCATGGTCAAGGTGTTGGACTCCCACATGGCTGACTGTGGTGTGAGTCCCAGTGGCTTAAAATTCATGCTAGATAGGTGTGTATGCCTGCCAAAAATCCTAAGAGGAGAATGGAGGAGAAGGGATCGTGGCATGGCTATTCCTCCTGAAGAGTCATTTCCCACTTTTCCTCTCTCTCCAGCGAGCTCACAAGCCCTATGGCAAAAACATAAAATAAATAAAATTAAAGAAAAGATTAGTCAGTGGTTCTCAACATGTAATCCCTGGGAACTTGTTAGGGATGCAGATTTTCAAGTCCCATCCCAGACTGGCTGGTCAGAAAGTCTGGAGTGAGACCCACAAGTTTGGGTTTTCTAAGTTCCCTAGGTAATCCTTTTGCACACCCAAGTCAGAGGACTGCTGGATTCAGTGATTAGTTTTGCTGGTGGGGTTATCACTCTGTTTATGTTCAGTAAAGTCAGTTGTCCTGCTACAGTTTCCATGACAATCATTTCTTTTCACATTAAGTGGTGGTCTAAGTTCAAGGGCCAGAGATTCCCAGGGAGCCTGGTTGCACTGGAGCCTGTTTTCATGTAAGGAAGTAACAGATGTTCACTCTACCAAGTTGATCTTAAAAGTGTTTTAGAGTGAGAAGTTAAAAAAAAATTGGTCTCCCGGTCAGAAATGACTTTTTCAAATATGCTCATGAGGGGATTTATTAAGTACGAGGTGATGCGTGCCGGCTTTGTCTGGACGGGAGCAGAGTGCTCATGGAGGAGGTGGGAGTGCATATACAAATCGTGGTCTCCTTTGGAATGTAAATGCCCTGTGGTATATGTCCCGTGTGAGAACGCTTACCCACACAAATGTACACAAGCTCCATGTCTCCGTGGGGGACATCAGAAACTTCCAAATACAAAATAATGGTTAGAAATCTGGAAAATGGGGTAGTCCAAAATGAAATATAAGTGGATCACAGATTGTCACCCGGCAAGAATAGGAAGAGGAGAAGCTGGTTTCAGGACCCTCAGCCACGTCTCCCAGAGGGGTCCTTCTCCCACAGGTGTAAGCTGCACCTCATTTTCAAGATAGGGAGTCCCTTCGGGCCAAGGGATTTGAGCGAACAATTCAGAGATGCTGCTAAATTACAAAATATAACAGAAGTTTAACTTTCTTTGGGTCCTGTCACCTCTCCACGAAGATAACCAACCAGGACCTGAACTTCATTGTGCATCTTGGAGCTATTTCAATTCTGAGTCCAAAGAGCTTTTTCTTCCTCCTCTCTTCCCCCACCCCTTTCCCTCTCTCTCTCCATTCTTGATTCCCTCCTTGTCTTCTTTTGTTTTAAGAAGGATGCAATATATTGATCATCTAGCAGAATAAAAAATGCTTTAAAACATACATGAAAACAACATTACATTATCCCCACTGGGTCGATTAGCATGCATGTCTGCAACCCCCACTCAGGTCAGGAACATCACCCTCATACGGGAGGCCCCTGCCATCCTTTGCCGTCCTCCTCCCGAGGGTAGCCACTGTCCCGACTTCTAGCACCACAGAGTGACGGCAGGATTTCTTTTCAACAACAAAACCAGCCACTACTTCACACAGCGGGCCTGAATGTACTCACAGAATGTACTCACAGTGCACTATGGTTCCTGTGCTTTGACGTATACATAATCGGTCAATAAGCATTTACTTGCAAAAAGAGAGAGAGAAGAAATATTAAGGTTGAAAGAAAGCCCAGCTTGTCCCATAAATCTAGAAATACCAAGTTAAATCTGTAGGCAGCTCTGGCACAATCCCAGGCCTTCTATGTGTAGTTCAGATCCCAGGAATTTTAATGGTGAGGTGTCTGGCTTATATACCTTCTTTTGAAAGCTGACATTGCTTTAAAGCTCCTTTTTAATTTGCTACAAATGTTAAGAAGTAAACATGTTGGCATCACATGCATTTCCTATTTAGCAGCATAAGAAGTCAAGCTGCAGTTCCAGGACCTCCTGCTTTGACAACAGAATGGCCTTTGCCTTTTGATTTCTTACAAGTTGCAGAGAACTCTCCCCAACTTCCAGCCAGTTTTCTGGCCAACAGTGTGGGTTTCTGACTCTGCTGCCGAAACGACCATATTGGACAGATGGTTGCATAGAGGGAGGCTGAGTGAGGTTTTGCATCGCCTCTCTGGCTCACCCTCTGTATTACCTTTACTTGGAGAAGTATTTCCAAACTAGAGCACCCATCAATAAACTTTTCTTTTAAGATTTACTTTATTACTTACTATTAATTTTTAATTTGCTACAGGGCACATGGGCTCACCAGAGAGAAACAGAGAATGAGAGAGAGGGGGAAAGTGAGAAAGCAAGCCACCAGCTCTGGGACTCAAACCACGTTCAGCCAGCCATGTGGGAGTCTAGGACCTCAACCACCATTCCACCTACTGGCCCCCATCAGCAAACTTTTTCTCTAAAGAGCCAGGTTGTAAGGTCTTCGGGATTTGCAGGCCAAAGGGACCCTGCTGTAGTTCCTCAAGTCCGCTACAGTATCACAAAAATATCCAAACACAGTATGTCAGGAAAGGGTAGCCATATTGATTCAAAAACTTTAGCTGGCCAGATCTGGACCTGAAGCTGTAGTCTGCTGACCCGTCTTAGAGTCTTCAAGAATTATTTTGGGCATTCTACATGATGCGTGGGGAACGAGTTTTAAAATTTAATTTCATTATCATTTTTTAATAAATAGCTATAAGATCAGGGACCAACAGATGGTGTAATGTTTACAACCCTGGACCTCCCACGTAGTTGACCCTGGTTCAAGTCCCAGACCCAGTGGCTTCAAACTCATGCTGCACACGTGTGCGTGCATGCCCAAAGTCTTGAGAGGGGAATAGAAAAGGGATTGTGGCGTGGCCATCCCTCCTGAGGGGGTGATTTCTCACTTTCTGTCTCTCTGTCTCTGTCTCTGGTGAGCACACATGCCCTATACCAAAAACCTCTCTTAAAAAAAAAAAAAACTGTAAGATCAAAATTATTTTGCTATGACACATGAAATTTAGAATTAAAAATATATATATTGTAATTCCATAGATTAGGGCTTTATTTATTGAGTCAGTATTTCTCAAATTCGTTTTGGAACTATTCTTGATGACCTCTAATTTTTTCCCTTCATATTTCAAAAAGGGTCAGTCTTAGATGCCTCAATTCAATTTTAAAATCAGTTAGACCCCAGGTCCTACATAAGCAATGACGCATTGCTGCCCCCTGCAGTTTCACTGGAGAATGACCTCAAGGGCCAGATAGGCAGATATGGCCGCATTATCTTGTGAAGTTAATTTGTGATGTAATTGGGGAGGGGAAAGGAGGTGAGAGGCCATCTGACAGTGTGTTTAGGTCAACATAGAGTTATATTTACAACTTGCCTCTCAAAAAAGTAATATTTTTTGATGCCTGAATACATTGTTTTTATATTATTAAAACTAGAAACTAACTCTGAATTGGTTTGAAAATACCTCAAATAGAAAAAGACTTTCGATTTTATAAACACAAGTATGATGTAGTTTTCTCCTTGGTCAAGATGTTCTAAGCCCCATTTACCACCTTTCTCCCTGGGTACCCTGAGAGCTTTTTTATAAGGCTCACTACAAAGCCAGAGCAGACAAACCCACTTTACATGGCAGGGATAGCCTGCCTTTTCTTCCTTCCACTTCCCTTCCCTTCCTCTTTTTTGTACCTTGCTTTTTCTCTGGTCTTGCAAAGTGCATGTTTAAAAATTCTGGCCACATGGCTAATTCCACAGTTTGAGTCCCAAACCAAAATCTTGAAGAACATGCCGGGCATATGTGCTTACATACCCAAAAGTCTGTCAAAGGGAATGGACAAGAAGGGATTGAGGCAAACCATGCCTTCTTGGGGATAATTTCTCACTTTCTTGCTCTCTAGCTCTCTTCCTCTCCCCTCCGTGGTGAACACATGTGCCGGATGGCAAAAATCTAAAACAAATAGTTATGCCGGGCCAGTGGCATGGTGTTTGAAGTGGCCGAACCCCACATGGCTGACAGCAGAGTGGAGTCCTGGGCTCGGTGTGAAAATTACACCGAGCATGTGTACTGTCTGTGCAGAATCCTAAAAGGGGGAAGAAAAGGAGAAGAAGGGATTGTGGTGTAGCCATCCCCTGTGGAAGGTGCTTTCTCAACACCCTCCCACTCTCCCACTCCCCTATCCCTTACCTCCACTAATCTGTCTCCAGCAAAAGCACCCTCTGGCAAAATAAAATAAAATTTTTAAAAATGTTTTGCTGTAAACGCTCATAAATCTTCTTAGCTAATGACTAATGAACCATGTTCTTGTTCCATTCTAAGTGATTTGCTGATATGAAACCTCATGCGATTTGGAATTTTGGATGAAAACTTTGAAGAAGTGCAAAAACAAAAACCAAACTTTGTCATTTTATGTAGTTTTAATATAGAACTTCAGAACTCAAATGTGGGGATAATCTGCACAACATATACAAAATTTTAAATATTTTTATGCCTAATATTGTTTACAGACACAGTATTAAATTTTAATGCTAATGGGGGCCAGCAGGTAGCATGCTGGTTAAGGTGTCGGACTCCCACTTGACTGTGGTTCGAGCTCTAGACCTGCCAGCTGGCTTTCTCACTTTCCCTCTCTGACACTCTCTGGTTAGCACACATGCCCTATAGCAAATTTTAAAGTAAATAAATAAAATAATTATTATTTTTGTAGAGAAATATTTGCTGTATGGTGCATGTGCTTGCTGGAGAGACAGAGAGAATGTGAGAAATCACCCTCTCGGGGATGGCCAGGCTGCAATTCTTTCTCCTCCGTTCTCCTCTTGAGATTTTGGGTACACATGCACATGTGCCCAGCATGAGATTCGAGCTACTGGGCATGAGACTCGAACCATGGTCAGTCATGTATGAGTCCAGTATCTTAACCACTATACCACCTTGCTGGCCCCAACAATTCTTTTAAAAAAAATTTAATGCTAACTTTAAAGAGTCTGAAAATTTATATATATGTGTGTGTGCATGTAAATTGTGTGTGTTCATTTACACACAATGAACCAGAGCTTTAATAACAGTTTTTAAAAACACTGTAGGGGGACCGTCAGGCGGGGTGATGTAACGCACTGGACACTCCCACGTGGCCAACCACAATTTGAGTCCTGGACCTGGTGGCTTGCTTTCTAAGTTTCCCTCTCTCTGGTCAAAAATAAGTGAATGAGGGGGCTGGCAGGTAGCATGGTGGTTGGGGTGTTAGACTCCCACATCACCAACCACAGTTTGAGTCCCAGACCTGGTAGCTTGCCTTCTCACTTTCTCTCTCTCTCTCTGGTCAAATTAAAATAAGCAAATTGGGACCAGCAGTTAGCATAATGGCTATGTTGCTGGACTCCCACATAGTCAGCCGTGGTTCGCGTCCTGGACCCAGTGGCTTAAACTCACACCGGGCGCGTGTGCATGCATGCCCAAGATCCTGAGAGGAGAATGGAGGAGAAGGGATTGCGGCGTGGCCATCCCCCCCTGGGGGGGGGTGATTTCTCGCTTTCTGTCTCTCTGTCTCTCTCTGTCTGGCGAGCACACGTGCCCTGTAGCAAAAAACCTCTCCAAAAAAGGAAAATAAATAAAATAATAAATAAATAAATAAGTAAATAAGCAAGTAAATAAATAAAGTTAAGTAAAAAATAATCCTTTTAAAAAGCGAGTGAATAAATAAATAATTAAAAAACATGGCAGGGATAGCCTGCCTTTTCTTCCTTCCACTTCCCTTCCCTTCCTCTTTTTTGTACCTTGCTTTTTCTCTGGTCTTGCAAAGTGCATGTTTAAAAATTCTGGCCACATGGCTAATTCCACAGTTTGAGTCCCAAACCAAAATCTTGAAGAACATGCCGGGCATATGTGCTTACATACCCAAAAGTCTGTCAAAGGGAATGGACAAGAAGGGATTGAGGCAAACCATGCCTTCTTGGGGATAATTTCTCACTTTCTTGCTCTCTAGCTCTCTTCCTCTCCCCTCCGTGGTGAACACATGTGCCGGATGGCAAAAATCTAAAACAAATAGTTATGCCGGGCCAGTGGCATGGTGTTTGAAGTGGCCGAACCCCACATGGCTGACAGCAGAGTGGAGTCCTGGGCTCGGTGTGAAAATTACACCGAGCATGTGTACTGTCTGTGCAGAATCCTAAAAGGGGGAAGAAAAGGAGAAGAAGGGATTGTGGTGTAGCCATCCCCTGTGGAAGGTGCTTTCTCAACACCCTCCCACTCTCCCACTCCCCTATCCCTTACCTCCACTAATCTGTCTCCAGCAAAAGCACCCTCTGGCAAAATAAAATAAAATTTTTAAAAATGTTTTGCTGTAAACGCTCATAAATCTTCTTAGCTAATGACTAATGAACCATGTTCTTGTTCCATTCTAAGTGATTTGCTGATATGAAACCTCATGCGATTTGGAATTTTGGATGAAAACTTTGAAGAAGTGCAAAAACAAAAACCAAACTTTGTCATTTTATGTAGTTTTAATATAGAACTTCAGAACTCAAATGTGGGGATAATCTGCACAACATATACAAAATTTTAAATATTTTTATGCCTAATATTGTTTACAGACACAGTATTAAATTTTAATGCTAATGGGGGCCAGCAGGTAGCATGCTGGTTAAGGTGTCGGACTCCCACTTGACTGTGGTTCGAGCTCTAGACCTGCCAGCTGGCTTTCTCACTTTCCCTCTCTGACACTCTCTGGTTAGCACACATGCCCTATAGCAAATTTTAAAGTAAATAAATAAAATAATTATTATTTTTGTAGAGAAATATTTGCTGTATGGTGCATGTGCTTGCTGGAGAGACAGAGAGAATGTGAGAAATCACCCTCTCGGGGATGGCCAGGCTGCAATTCTTTCTCCTCCGTTCTCCTCTTGAGATTTTGGGTACACATGCACATGTGCCCAGCATGAGATTCGAGCTACTGGGCATGAGACTCGAACCGTGGTCAGTCATGTATGAGTCCAGTATCTTAACCACTATACCACCTTGCTGGCCCCAACAATTCTTTTAAAAAAAATTTAATGCTAACTTTAAAGAGTCTGAAAATTTATATATATGTGTGTGTGCATGTAAATTGTGTGTGTTCATTTACACACAATGAACCAGAGCTTTAATAACAGTTTTTAAAAACACTGTAGGGGGACCGTCAGGCGGGGTGATGTAACGCACTGGACACTCCCACGTGGCCAACCACAATTTGAGTCCTGGACCTGGTGGCTTGCTTTCTAAGTTTCCCTCTCTCTGGTCAAAAATAAGTGAATGAGGGGGCTGGCAGGTAGCATGGTGGTTGGGGTGTTAGACTCCCACATCACCAACCACAGTTTGAGTCCCAGACCTGGTAGCTTGCCTTCTCACTTTCTCTCTCTCTCTCTGGTCAAATTAAAATAAGCAAATTGGGACCAGCAGTTAGCATAATGGCTATGTTGCTGGACTCCCACATAGTCAGCCGTGGTTCGCGTCCTGGACCCAGTGGCTTAAACTCACACCGGGCGCGTGTGCATGCATGCCCAAGATCCTGAGAGGAGAATGGAGGAGAAGGGATTGCGGCGTGGCCATCCCCCCCTGGGGGGGGTGATTTCTCGCTTTCTGTCTCTCTGTCTCTCTCTGTCTGGCGAGCACACGTGCCCTGTAGCAAAAAACCTCTCCAAAAAAGGAAAATAAATAAAATAATAAATAAATAAATAAGTAAATAAGCAAGTAAATAAATAAAGTTAAGTAAAAAATAATTCTTTTAAAAAGCGAGTGAATAAATAAATAATTAAAAAAAAAAAACCACTGCAGGCTTTTGAAAATGTCTAACCTGGCTCCTGTTCTTTCCTTTCCAGGTTTTTTAAATAGCTTTGAGGAGTTGCAGGCTGAGGAGTGTGGCATCCTAAACGGATGCGAAAACGGCCGCTGTGTGAGGGTCCAAGAAGGGTACACTTGTGACTGCTTCGACGGGTACCACCTGGATATGGCCAAGATGACCTGTGTTGGTAAGAACAGTGGGCATCGCATGTGAAGTTACGCTTTTAAGATGCCCGGTGGCCAGATCTCAGCGCTGTACATGTAAGAGAGATTGTGGGGCTTCGGTTAGGGAAGATAAGAAAAGCTGTGGGGCTGTGCATGTAGCACAGTGTATACTATACTTTACTGTGATCAAAAAAAAAAGATGGAGTTGAATTCTCTGTTTAGACTTCATCTTGTGGTCAGTAGAAAGACCAGAATGTCCCAGGTGGTTACTTTGACTCTCTTAAATCGAGCTTTAGACTATGCAGCAAGTAATGATTTCCTTGAATACTGGACACAGATGTAAGGGCAGAGAGATGTCTGGAAAAGTCCAGTTCTCACAGTAATCATGAATGAAAGTCCACCGAAAACCTTCTTTCACATTGTTCTCCCTCCTACGTCAAAAGGAACAGTCAATATACTTTAACCTGGTCCAGGTCACTCGGTGTTGTCTTTCCAGGCCTTTTTGCCTCTTTGCTAGAAGTTCCTTGCCTTGATTTTTCTTCTGTTTTTCTACTCTCTCCTGTGGCATCCTTTAGCCCCTCAGTTTCGTGTGTTTTTATCTGGGGTGCCACTGGAACATAGGTGACCCTGGGTCTTCCAGGAGTTTCGAGTGAGTGAGAGGCCAAATGGATGTCATGTGAGAAGAAATCTTGAAAACGTAGCTGAAGACTTCAGAGAGGCTGCTCAGAGCACTGTCAGCTTCCTCGTTTGGGTCCTCTGGACAAATTGAACAGTTCTTTTATATCTATAGGAAAAGATTTAGAAGTAATAGAGTTCCTCCAACTTTCTTTCTTTTCTTGTTTTCACATGTATTTATTTGTTGTGATTTCAAGCCACCAGGTCAGGTTTTTGAACCTCAGTCAGCCAGTGCCTCAACCATCACGCCACCTGCTAGCCACAAGCTCCAACTTTCCTGAGGTTTGACCATAAGATGTCAGGCTGACATGGGCCAGATGCAGATGATAGTCCATCAATTGCACCACACTCAGTAATGCTGGACCCATCTGGGAAGGTCCCAGGCTTATATCCCAGGGCCTCCCTGTACCTACCGCTGGTGGCCATGATCTGGGCTGGTTGTGGCTGGAGGTGGATCACTGCATGAGAACCCACAGCATGCATGGTTATCCTCTCTGAAGAAAATAAATTCTCTCTGAAGAAAATAAATAAACAAGATTTTTTTATTAAGTCAGACTGACAGAATATTTTTCCCTAAATAACAGGGAAAGCAATTCTAGAAACTCCCCAATGATCGGTCTTTTTAAGATCTAGAAAGTCTGTTTTGATCTTGCAAGTAAGTGAAGCAGATGATAATGGGGAATGCCATGCAGCTTACTGGGAGGCAAGGATTGGGAGTCAGAGTTCAGGTGAGGGACCTGGATGCCTCAGGTCAGTGTGGGTCATGTTTCCTCCCAGAGTGAGGTCAGAGCTCACTTACCTGCCTGGTTTGGCTCTTTGCAGATGTCAATGAATGTGATGAGTTGAACAGTCGGATGTCTCTCTGCAAGAATGCCAAGTGCATCAACACAGAAGGTTCCTACAAGTGTTTGTGCCTGCCGGGCTACGTTCCTTCTGACAAGCCGAACTACTGCACTCCATTGAATACCGCCTTGAATTTAGAGAAAGACAGTGACCTGGAGTAAAAGAGAATCTGCATGACCTAAGCCCATATACCCTGCACTGTGTAAAGGAAAAGGGAGAAATGTATTATACTTGAGACATTGCACCTAACCCAGGATGTTGGAAATGTGGAAACAGCATGAGCTGCACGTCCTCCAAAGACGATGAGAGGATTTAGGGTGAGCCTGAGTGGCATGACAGACCAAATGGACATTTCTCTAAAAAATCAGTATATATAGTCTGTTCATATGTAAAATTCAGTGGGAAAAAAAAAAGGCAGAACAGTGCTGTTATTTTAAACAGAAGGTTGTATTATTATGTCGTTTTATTTTTTACTATTGCTTGATTAAATTTGGAATTAAATAGTGGTGGAAATATTTTATATAATTTTCATTTTTTTTGGTTGTGTAGTTCCTTGGCTACTGTTTTTCTTTCTCTTTAGTTGTTTTTTTTTTTTTTTTTAACCTCAAGGGTATACGTCTTTGATAAAATATTGTTAAGCTGTATTTTAAGTATTGTTACACAAGGTTATGCTATTCCTGGTCTCTAGAGCATTTTTTAAATTGAAATTGTCTGTCCTGTGGAGCAGGCAGTGATTTTGTTTTAAAACTTTTATACACATTTGGAGAAAACAACTTTGTATTTTCTGTATATTGTCTGATTTTAATGTCCACTCTTAGCCGAGCTGCTAGCGGACATCAGTTGGAACCTTTTCCTTCACTGAAATGGAAGAATTTATGAGCTTACATTAGTATTGTAATATGTCATGTAAGCCCAGCAAAAAAAAAAAAAAATTTTAAACTTGATAACCCCCAATATATTTACCATTGTATGTTAAAGCAAAATAAATCACCATTTTTGTAGAAAAAAATTCTACCTGAGAATAATTGTCAGCGAGTCCATGCTGTACAAGGGTATCCCATCCTCTCTCGTTTTGTTTTCATCAATAGTCCTCTATTAATGTAGAGCCTTTTACAAGTTAATCAATAATTTGTTAGGTATTATTAGGAGCTAAATTGTCTCCCTCACCCCCAATTCATTTGTTGAAGCCCTGGCCCCTGAGTACTTCAAAATGTGACTATATTTGGAGATAGGATTGTTAAACAGGTAATTAGTGTTTAGTGAGATCTTTGGGGGTGAGTCCCAGTCCAGTATGATGGTGTCCTTATATGAAGAGGAGATCAGGTCACAGAAACACACAGAGGGAAGACTGTGTACAGACAGAGAGAAGACACCATCTATCAGCCAAAGAGAGAAGCCTCAGAAGAAATCAACCTCCCAAAATCTTGATTTCAAACGTTTAGCCTCCATGACTGTGAGAAAATAAATTTCTGTTGTTTAAACCACCCAGTCTGTGGGACTTTTTGTGGCAGCTCTAGCAGACTAATAAAGAGATCCGGAGGGACCAGCAGTTAGCATAATGGCTATGTCGCTGGACTCCCACGTAGTCGCCCGCAGTTCGCGTCCCGGACCCGGTGGCTTAAAAAACTCACGCCGGGCGCATGTGCATGCGTGCCCAAGATCCCGAGAGGAGAACGGAGGAGAAGGGATTGTGGCGTGGCCATCCTCCCTGGGGGGTGATTTCTTGCTTTTTGTCTCTCAGTCTCTCTCTGTCTGGTGAGCGCACGCACCCTATAGCGAAAAACCTCTCTCTCAAAAAAAAAAAAATAGATAGATAGATAGATAGATAGATCCAGGAAGAATAAATAATAGCTTTCAAGATTTCAGTCACTGCTTGCTTAATACACATCTACAGTAATGATGTTTTCATAACTAAACTGAAACTCAGAATCTATTTTTGCTTAGTAAAAGCATCTGGGTTTTAAAAAGCAAACTATGTATAGACATACCCAGCGTAAAATCTCAGTTAACACTTTCCCGAAGGACAGGTTTTCGCTTTCTAATACCCATAGTAATCAGTCATAGCACCTGAAGCACAGCGTTGTCCTGATCCGGAGAACCAGTGAATATGTGACTTTCGTGGCAAAAGGCAACCAAGGTGACAGAAAAGATGGATAATCAGATGGTCTTAAACTAGGGAGATTGCCCTGGATTATATGGCCCAGGGTAATCCCAAGAGTTCATAAAAGGAAAAGGACCTAGAACACGGAAGAGGAAGGCAGAAGGAGAGCCAGAGGGAGATGTGACTATGGAGGAAGTCAGATGCAATGATGAGGAAGACTCAGCCTGCCACTACTAGCTTTAAAGAAGAAAGGGGCGATGAAACCAGACCCAGGGACCATGGGCAGCCACTAGAAATGGGAAAAGACAAGGGAACAGATTTCTCCCCTAGAGCCTCCAGGAAGGTGCTGTGGCTCAGAAGCTGATAACTCAGAGATGGGCACTTGGGCTGCTGAAGGGTCTTTGAAGTAGAATCAAGGTCTCTTTAACTTTGAGTGTTCAAATCCAGGGAGGGGCTCTTTCTATAATTTGCTTACATGACTGAAGAAACTTACTAATAGAAATGTAGGTGTCTTAAACTCCTCCCTCCTTACGAATCTCCTCAAGGAAACAGACAGGAAGATGAAGTCTCCATACCCAGAACACCTCATCTGAATGTACCTTCTGAGAAATTACCTAAGAAACTTTTTCTGCTTAACGAGACAACCTTTGTTCCGGTGTGGCTTCTTCCCTTTCTCCTCATCTTTTCATGAACTTGTTGGTCCCATTCAGCTCCCAAAGAAAAGAAAATTATTTACTAGCCATCCTCTGAGCATTTGGACCATCTATTGCCGCATTTTCCTTTCTCCTATGAAGAAGGGTTATACGCCTTAGCCATCTGGCCCCTCTTTGAATCGATATTTTCTGTGACTCCCATGTACATATGTATACCTTAAATAAATCTGTCTTTGCTCCTATTCATCTGCCTATTGTCAGTGATATTCAGCAAAACTTCCAGAGAGAAAAGAAAAATTCCTTCACCTCTACAAAGGAATGCAGGTCTGCCAATATCTTAGCACCGCATTTCAGTCCAGGGACACTTTTCTTGACTTCTAACCTGTAGAATTATAAGGTAATAAATGTGTATTATTTGAAGCCACTAAATTTGCAGCAACTAAAAGGTGTGACAATACGAAAGCGTCACAGATCTTCCCTACCTCTCTTACATTTTTCAGCTGATGTTTATGTAGGAGAAACTTAGGACCGATTTCCAACACGCATGCTTGTTGGAATGCATTTTCACATTGCCTCCCATGTCTGGCCCTTTCATGTCTAGCTCCTTTCAGAAGTTACTGGAATTTTACTTTTAATGCCCAGTTCTCACATAAGATTTGGAATTCTGTGGCAGTAGTCCTAATGCATTGGCCATGGAGAGACAGGCGCATGGTAAAATGCATTCTAGCCATTCGTTAGACATGTGTTTTCTGGCTGCCTGTAAGTATCTCGTGCTCAAGAAAGAGCCAGGTCTCCTTTGTTTGTCTATCCACAGAATTAGTCTCTATACCTTTTTATTTTTAGAGATTTTTGCTATAGGGTGCATGTGGTCACTGAAGAGACAAAGTGAGAATTCACCCCTGGGCAGGGATGGCCATGCTGCAATCCCTTCTCTTCCATTCTGCTCTTGGGATTTTTGGGCATGCACGCACACGCACCTGGTGTGAGTTTCAAGCCTCTGGGTGCCACCCTTGAAACTAACTCAGTCAGCCACATAGGAGTCCAGTGACGTAAGCATCTGCTGGTTCTGGTCTCTATACCTTAAAATACTAACAGCAGCATTTTATTGTTTTGTCATAAAATAATTGTTTCAAAATAACTAAACCTGACTCTGATTCAAACCTATGTAGTTCAGAGTTTTGAAATTTGCCATGTTAGTTGAAATCAGCACCTTATAGAAATTAAGTGTTGATCAAAAAAAGGGACTGATGCATAATAAATTTTAAAAAGTAATTTATTTGAGCCAGGACTTAGGATTAATTGCCTGGATGAGCAAATTTCTATTTTCTCAAGCATGTAGACATCAAAATGACAAACAACCAAGCTGGGTTAAGTAACATAAAGGGCTGAAGAGGAAATCCTTTTGCCTTTTGCCGCATCACAACTTGTGTACTAGTACACGAATTAAAATATGCCTTTTGGAGCGGTAATCCTGCTGGGCATAGAACATAACAAATCTTTCAGGATTATGCTTTACTGAGGTCTTTTAGAGTTAAATGGACTTTGTATTCCATAGACTGCTCTGAGTGGCTTTTCTTTTCTACGCGGTTTATTTGAGCCAAGGCTTAGGAGGAATTCCTTAGATGAACGGATTCTGGTTTTCCAGACTTGTGCTCATCACAATGGTAACTGAGGAAACTGGTTTATATAACAAAGAGAAGGGCAGGAAGAGGGGAGATTATAAGTTATTTATCAAGAGTGACCTTGGTGGGGACCAGCAGTTAGCGTAATGGCTATGTCGCTGGACTCCCAGCGGTTCAAGTCCCAGACCCAGTGGCTTAAACTCACGCCAGGCACATGTGTGTGCGTGCCCAAGATCCCAAGAAGAGAATGGAGGAGAAGGGATTGTGGCATCGCCATCCCCTCTAGGGGGTGATTTCTCGCTTTCTATCTGTCTGTCTCTGTCTGGCGGGTGCACGCGCCCTATAGCAAAAACCTCTCCAAAAAAAAAAAAAAAAAAAAAATGGGTGACCTTGGTGAACCAGCCTCATAGTTCAGTAGTTAAGCGAGCCAAAACCACACAGCTGACCGTGGTGTAAGCCCCAGCCCCAGAGGCGTGGAAAGCTTGTGGACAAGTGTGTGCATGTGCCCCAAATCATGATGGGAAGGAGGGGTGAGGATAAAGAATAGCTGAATAGCTGCATGACCACACCATGTTGGGTGATGCTTCCTCTCTCTCTCTTTCACTGGTGAACACACGCTCTCTCTGGCAATTAAAAAATTATTTACATTGGGAAACGCAGGCAACTGATTGGCTATACTTTATTCTTTACATTATGAACTTAAGGCTGGAATGGGACTAGTAGGTAGCATGGTGATTAAGGTGCTGGACTCCCACATGGTGGGAGTCAAGTCCCGTACCTGGCAGCTTGAAAATCATGCTGGGCATGTGTGCATGCCAAGTCCCTAGAGGAGAATGGAGGAGAAGAGATTGTGGCATGGCCATCCCTTTTGGGGGATGATTTCTCACCTTCTGTCTCTTCAGTAAGTGCACATGTCCTATAACAAAAATCTCTCTTTAAAAGAAATGCTGGGATGGGGTCAGCCCCATAACACAAGACACAGCAGTTAAGCCCTGAGGGAACCAGATCCCACGTGGCCAACTGGATTACCTGTCTGGGCTTTGGTAGCTTGAAAAAAACACTGGACATGTGTGCCTATGTGTCCCAAATCCTAACAGGATGGAGAAATGCAGGGGAAAAAAAAGACTGGTGTGACCACACTCCACTGGGAAAGTGCTTTCCCTTTTTCTTGTACTCTGCCAAATTAAAAACAAACAAACGGAAAAAAAAAAAAAAGCAAAAACAAACAAAAAATAAAAAACAAAAAAACCTGGAGTGAAGAAAGGGTATAGTCACATTGTAATCTCTGTCATTTTTTGTAGCATCATAGTTTGTTTACTGTAAGCTAAAACTCACCTTTAGGACAATAACTCTGAAAAAGTGTGAGATATAGCTAAAATCTTGGGCTTATATTTACTCAAATATAAGCTCACTCGGGTAAAAAATTTTATGAGAGGTCACGTGTGCTCATAGGTAGTGGGGAGAGAGAAAAAGATGCAGAAAAAGTGAGAAAGCATCCTCCCAGAGCATGGGCACACTGCAGTCCCTTTCCCCTACTTTCAGGATTTTGGGCACATCCAGCATGTTTTTCAAGCGATCAATCCAAGGCTCAAACCACTCAGTCTACCATGTGGGATCCAGCCATCTTAACCACTATGCCACCAGCTGGCCCTGAACTTCAATTTTAACAAGGAGCAAACCTTACTCTAGTTTACAATGCTGTCATCTGATTTTCATGAGAACTGTGCTGCATCCCCCTGAGGACACTGGCTCAGAGAGTTCAGGATCTTGCCCAGAATCTCACAGCTATTGATACACAGAGCTTCAACTGAGTTCCTGGCCCATGCTTAGACCAACTCTCCCTGAATTTCTGTCTTAAAGAGCTTTCCTTAGGAAGCAAACATACTTCTTTACTATAAATATGGCTGAGAACATTTTTCTTGCAGTGTTCCTTGGAGCAAGCTGCTCACCCACCTCCTGGTTACTTTTCATTAGTGATCCCAGGTCACTATGGCTGAAGTAGGGCATCAGGCTGAGGTGCATGCATGTCATCCCATCCACCTGTCCATTCAATAAAGACTAAATACTGTGATGTACTAGGCAGCCTTCTGGGTGCTAGGGTCCAGCAG